GTAGATGGCACGCTGTTTCTGGTACCAAAACCCTTCTCTTTCTGGACCTGAATGGAAACGGGCTGTCAGGCGTGCTCGCACCGTGGCGAGATCGGAATCAAGTTTTGTGCCTCTGAAGGAACGGCAGTCTTGAATTGTGGCTCTCCACCGATGGCTGATGACCGTGTGATCCAACGGGGCCCACGGTTGATTTGCGGTTGGTGGCCACCAGGTTGCGTGATGCGAACGCCTATGTTAAGAATTTGTACCGGCCAGAAACAGCTGATACTCTGCACACAACTGGAGGAGTGGCTGTCCGTTGTCTGTGCAACGAGCATAGATTCCAAAGCGACCGACATGATGTGATTCCAAAAAGCTCAGACGAACGGCTTGGACATTCATATCGCCCGCAAGGACCACAATGTCAGTGGTTCTCGCTCGACGAATGAGCCCGAATAACTCTCGATGTAAGTATCCTACTCAGCCTCCAAACTACGGTCCTTTGAAGCATAGGCCGACACTGAAAAGGGGCACTGTTTTTGTGTCCAGAGGTAATGAGCTTGAACAAAGACGGCTGTTTACTGGAATACAATCCAGCAAAGCGTGTTCACCCCTGGGACCGATATATGTTCTACGAGTCATGGATTCTGAATCACCGGGCGCACAAAGAGTGAAATATGAACGGGATTGTTCGAAGCTGTTCGAGTAGCTTAATGTGATATGCGCGGAGGACCTAGCTGAAATTCATCCAAATCTTTTCTTTATGAGTCTGGTCAACTGAGCATACAGGAAGCAGGTCGCCTGGTATTCCAGTTGCGCTGATAATCCAGATATCGAAGTATGCTCCACTACTATCCATACTCTGGACAGCCCGTTAACAGTTTCCTTTTTGTTGGGGCTCACTAGTCAGGCCCCTTCCTCGAGTCTCCATCTACTTTACTTTCTAAATTGAATACCGATTTGCACGCATGTTGCGACGAACACTCCCTTGCTAAGTAAGTTGATGCTCACGTGGGATTGCTGAAAATTTTGGTCTACAGTTTTCTGATTTACCCCAGGAACGGCAAAAGTATTAGGGGGGATCGAAAGTTCTCATTATACTTAAAGATGTTGGGTGAAGAGAAATATTCAGAGATCTTGAATGTTGTTCCGGCCGAAACCTGCAAGTATCACATTCCGTTGCGTAGTGCTGTAAACAAGAGATCCAGATGAATTTCATCTGTTTCTTGTTAACACAAAACTAATTTGTAAATGAATACCTCCATTCTTTAGCATGAAGTTCTTCCTTCATTATCGCGAGGTGGGTGCTAGTACTGCCTTTGGTAGTATAAAAGACGTCGCTTAATGAAACACTCAAGGACAAGGAACTGATCTTCGAATATGGGAGCTAGAAGTATCTGGAAGAGATAATGCCATATGTTGTCCTTCATACGAGGGGTTGTTGCTTGCCTGTCAGATTCACGGCCTAGGCGAACAAAAGGGGGGGGTGTTGGCACTTCCGGAAATTTCATAGAAATCTGGCACCGAATGCTTCATACGAACTTTAAATTACACGTGCCTCTTCCAATGGGGTCTCTTTTGGGGGAACTACTATATTCCGGTTTACTTCGGGTGTCTCGTCGGAAGATGCAGCGCAGTGGACTGGGTATGGTATCTCAATGGTGGACTCAATAAATTTCAAACGTCAGCAAGTGCACAGCGGGTTTCCCGCTAATGAGCTCTTGTTCCACCCCGTTATGGTGCTGCGGGATTTCATTTCGAAGTAGTACATTTTTATGCTTACAATCACCATCCTAGGTCTCCTCAAGTTCAAAATCTCCTCTGAACAGAACAACTCGTGCACCTCGAGAAATACACTCATTTCCAAATCAATTTGGTATTCACGAGAGACTCAACTGAATCTCTCGTTTTTATGATATTTAGTTGTAGAATGTCATAAAAACGAGAGACTCAGTTGAGTCTCTCGTGAAAACCAAATTGATTTGCAAATTAGTGTATTTCTCGAAAACAGTGCAAATTGGGTTCAAGTAGATCATAAGGTTGACGGAAACTCGGGGACTGCGCCTACCTGATGAGCCCCAAAAAGGGCGAAACCGGTCGTGAGATGTCGAAGAGTTTTTAGCAACCTTGTTAGTAGTTTCCTTTATGAAAAATCGTGCAGCTGTTCTCCTAGCATTCTTGCACGAAATGGGTGTCCGCCCACTCGAGTAATGGAGATTTGTTACGAGAAGTCTTTAAGAGGTTATTTATATACCTGCCAAAAAACACAGGAGTTTAAGATGGTCACTGGACAGTACTACCCCTCGTTACTACCCACCGATATATTCCACTCCATAGGAAAGTCAACCATGCAGTAAACTGAGGAAAATTTTGGTATGATGGTATTAGTGACGTCAAATAACTTAAAAACCGGGTAAGTTCGAATGCAACTATCGGATTGCAGATTTGTTGTCTGAACTATATGTTGGGCACAATAGTTCAGCATACTCTGGAAATTTCCTATTAGCTCAAGCGAATACGTGGTCCACAACGGAAACCAGCAAGCAAAACTGCTGTGGCAAAGTGGTGCTGAAGACGTCAAGTCGGTTGGCCAAATGATCAAGTTGTCCACTATCCTACATCCATCTAATGAGGTTGTTGTACAAAGGGGAGTGTTCGCTGAACTATTCCGAAACCGACCACTTTCTTAATTTTCAACCTTTTAGGGGCTGAATATCACCCACTGTTTGATCATTTGTATGCTCCGGTAGGTTTGTCAAAAATCCAGCCGGAGAGTTTAAATCACAATTGGACAGATCCCGGCATTTACTCTACCACACCCACCGCTCAAATCCACATTGCGCGTTCCGTTACAACGCTTTGTTTCGTATCGGTGAGTGGTGGCTACAACAAACTCAAAACACCAAAGACTTAAGAATAGAAGAGGGAAACGAGCAGAGACATGACCGATAGCATAGTGTTTAACACCGATGCTTCATGTCCGTATTTAAAAGCTGTTGAGAAAAATGGGTATCGAGCAGACCTAGCGGTGGCCCAACACAATCGTTCCGAGATGTCCACACATGCAGACAATCTGGATATATATTGACAACAACGCCACTGACAGTGATTAGCAACCCTATCGTGCAATGTCTCCAACTATGCACATGGGATGTCACGCGGACCTGATCCTAGAAGACGAGTCGCACCTACGGTATCCAGACTTTTCGTTCAAGTACAACATAAGGTTGATGGGAGCTTGGTCACCGCGCCCACCCGACGAGCCCCAAAGAGGGCGAAACTGGTCGTGGGCTGCCGAAGAGTTGCCAGCAACCTCGTGAGTAGTTTTATTTATGAAAACAAATGGCTTTCGTTGGTGATTCACGAGTGGCTTCTACGTTGAGCTGCATATGATCATCCAACCTTTTAGATTCATTAGGATTCCTTCAGAGTTCGGCTTTACTAATTTTTATACGCACTTTGGGACAGCGAAAATATTGAATCTTAAGAGATTACAACTGATTCACACCAGCCTTCGATGGGAGCCCCAAAGCGAATATTTATCCAAACAGGACCTAGTTACCTTCACAAAATTTGCATTGCCCACTACTCATAAGTAGTAATGAAAATTCAAATTTCACCTGCGCCAAACGACGATCAGCCAGAGCACCGAATATCATATCAGATGCAAAACGTTCTAAAGAAATCGTATTAGATCCTTCCAAGCTGGTCATTTTTCTGATCTACATAAAGCTTACGTAAGAATCTGGAACAGTCTCAATCCGTTACGCAAAGTAAGAAAAGTGGATATAAGTTCTGCCCAACACAGCACCGACATTAATCACGACGAACACGGCTACAAAATAGAACGTAAGTGGTTTGCTGAGGTCATATGTTGTGTTCAGCAAGTCGGGCTCTTCTGAAAACGAATTGTGGAGGACTTTTTCATGGGCTAAAACTATTTCTCACTAGGATGTTGACCCACTCCCACTATTTTACAAAACTTAGGACTCACCACCATGGCCGATACAAGTAGCCAGCACACATCCCTGCTTGTCAATGAGATTACATCTACCTGAGTTTAGGAGTCAGTCTGAGGGACTATCAGAGAATCATAGTGTCATCGTTCTATCGCATGGTGACCTGGCTGCGCGCCCTTTGGACCCATCAGCGGAAGCTCAGTGGTGCTGAATTACTGGCCGGAACGTCCGCCCAACCTCAGCGTCTCGAATTCTGCTGACCAGGCTTGGGCAACCTGGAAGTACCTTTGTGTTTCCTTCCAGTGGCACTGCGGCTAGGCGCCGGAAGGGTGCTACAGCTGAACACTTGTTTAAATGAATCAAGAATACTTTAAGCAAAAGATTCAATTACGATACAGTTGAACTTCTCGTTAACACTAACTTAGTTGGCAAAGGAATGTATGTCGCCATGAGTAAACCTAGTTTGGCCATTGACTGGCAGTAGGTAAGCAGCAGAAAGGGATAGGAAACCCAAATTACCGTACCTCAGCCAGCTAACAAAGAGGAGAGATGCATTAACAGGCAGATATTTCATTATGAAATAACTCGCGTAGAAAAAACGTTACGGTGATAAGGAAAACATATCAGCTGGAGAAGAGGAGTGGGGTAACGCGGAACCAGGAACATTGATCGGGTTATTATTAGGTATGGACATCCGAGCTGTAAAGCTGTGTACAGGCGCGTGAGCCAACTTGGAAAATTCGTCAACACACGCGTCTCGGTAATCAGGGACAGGAAATAAAAAAACAGAACTCTATAGAATGGATAGCGGAGTGAATCAGATGAGCAGAAAATAGCTGTTCCGGAAGGGGTTTGTACATTGGATGGGTGATGAATAATCACGTAACCGGGTTGGTATGACAAATAACAAGAACAAACGATACTACACTGCAATGATAATTTACATACAGTCTTATCGGCACATTGTGTTGGCAGGTAGAGTTGACTATTCGCAAGAAGTCTTCGAGATAACACAAGGGGGACGGTGTCACAGCACGATCGCAACATTCATAGCGGCCACAACTAGGCTGATTGAGATTGCGCATTTCCATGCATGACGTCAGACACTTCGGTGACCGAATCCCCATCACCGAACGCAGTCGATGCTTGCAAACAACCCATATCTCTAGACTCTAAACTTGTGGGATCAAATCCTTCCATTCCATTCTTGTCCGTGGAGGTCCCATTTCCAGGAAGTTGACAGCTAACGGCAGAGTCTGCTGAAACAGAGACAGGGGTTGTGGGTATGGTAGAACACTTTGCGTCAGTTGTATCCATACTCGAAGAGCCTTCCAACTCCGAGGTTTCGGGTTTTTTCGTGGGTGCAAAACGTTGAATGTCGCTACGCAGAAGTTCCATCAGCAGAGAGTTATTGGAAAGATAGGCACTCAGGTCAAGATCTACCAACATCATGCGTGCCGTATGACTGGTCAGTTGAAGTTCTGGGATTCGAGACATCAGACGGCCAAACTTGTCTCGCTTGCCTGATGAATTGACAATGTAATCCATTAACATTCGTCGAACAGATTCCTGGTATTCCCGAACATGTTCCGCAGCTTTGAGATTTTTCAAATCTAGGGGACACATACGGTTGAAACAGGCAACAGATACATGAGGATCTGCCTAATTTCATCCCAAGTTAGCGAAACACGAAAGAGAAACTGTTCGGAATGCAACATACATCTGAGATGACATTCATGAATCTCGCAGCACACTTGGTAGGTGTCTATCACAGCTCTCTCTTGTCGCTTTTACAAGAGTCAAAAACAGCACGGAATGAAGGTATGAACAAACAGTTGCTACTGAGATGCCATCACCTGAGTGACAACTACTATTCGCATTCGTTAAGAGGTGACTAAAATGACTGCCGGAACATTCGCATCTCCAATAACCTACACAATGTCTCTGATTAGAAACTATGATGGGGTCAACAGTGCAGTAAGGTCACATTGAGCGGAGGGCAAATGACGTGAAACCATTGAAGCAACTGGGTAACCAATCCGATTAATCTGGATGACTATATACACAAACTGTACAGAAAGTAATGGCGATTGGCTAAATACGCCTTTGATAGAGTTGCTTCAGTTCAAGTCCTTAAAAGAATCACATAGCTACAGTGCTTTGAGGAGTGTCATGTTGGTCATAAATCCCCCATAAGGAACAAGGACCGAACCAGTAAACCTAGAAAAAATAAAGCAAATCGTTCAGTTGTAGCATCCTTTCGGTGTTTAGCTGCCATGCCAACGGAAGGAGGCATGAGAGTTGGGATACTACCATGATGCCCACACCTAGACAGGAGCAACCGGGATGTTGAGGTTGGTTTCGAACCACGGACCTTCCCGTCCGTAGGCTGGCACCTTAACCACTAAGATTGGACAATGGCCAATTCGCATCAATAGTAGATTCGCCCACCGTCATCTATAGAATAACCGAAAAACGCGTTACCGGAAGTGGGCAATAGATGCACTTCTTAACAACCGAAGCACTGTGGCAAGGCTGCACAACGCTCACACTCGATTAGTCCGCATTCAGCGACGGCTGATACTCCCCATCGGATGAAGACACGCATTATATCAGTCGTGTTAGGAAATCACTTTCAGCAGCCGGAGAAATTACAAGGTGACGTTCATCACACATATGAGACCAACTGGTGCTCTGAACATAAACAGCTCCTACAAAACCCACCATTGTGGGTGGGTTAAACGAAAGTTAAAAGTAGCGAAAGTTAAACTTAGCTCGTATTCTCTCAAGAAATGAATCTTTAACAGTATTAAAGGAATGGAAATGCTTTTACTCCATTGAGTAAAAGCTTCTCGGCTTTCTGAGCTAAGATCATGTGTAGTAAAAGGATGACCTCATATTCAGCTCACCCATTTAGACAACCAATATAGTAGTGGAAACTAAACAGGTCCTCCGTCAAACTGATCAGCTCTTTGCTGCGAGATGGCCCAAGTGGTTAGAGCGCGAATTTACTGACCGGAAGGTCCGTGGTTCGGATCGACCTCTGCCTCTCGACTTCCTGTCTAGGCTTGGGCAACCGGGCAGTATCCTAGCTCTCGTGCAACCTTTGGGTGGCATGGCAGTTGGGCACCGAAATGGTGCTAAAGCTGAACGGTCTTTGCTGCTCCGCAATTGAACCTAAACTCGGTCGCAAAACAGCTGCAGTGGGTTTGCTGAGTCGATTCAGTCCAGAAGGTCAACAGGCACGGACCAACGATTAGAAACGTTTTCACCTTACTTGGCTGTCTCACTACAGAAATGCTCTGAAACTTCGACATGAAGTGCCAAAGACCAATCTAATTATGAACAACGGGTGTGACTAGTTTGTTTCGTCACCCAGTCAATGATAACCTTTGTGACGTCTTCCTTCAAAACCACACTGGAAAAGACTAGAATCGAGATAGCCGTAGAAGTATTCCACCCTTTCCCTAACACACCCAAAAAGAATGTCAAGTTGATAACAAGTTTGTCGTGTTAATTCCAGAGGTAGGCGTGCCGACAAGGCAACGACAGCTAACAAGAGCACATCAGGAATGGCGTCCCACATATCTAAATATTTCAGTCTGCATATCTGGCTAATAAAAACTTACAGAATCTATATGAGCTGGTTCACATATCTGATTCTGTCTGCTAATTTTTATGTGAGACATTGAGTGATCAAAGTACTGGAATTAAGGAGTTGAAGAGACCAGACATGTACGAGCTGAAACCAAGACTTCAAAAATCGAGATGTCCTTACACAAAGTAGGCTATTTGACAGTAGTGCTTGATTGTGGGGATACCTGACCAGCAAACGTGGCTGACAATTACCTCAGAACCAACGCTTCACAGCTGTCATAAGCATTACAGGTTTGAATGAGGAATCGCTACCATGATTAATCAGTGGTAAACAAACAGATGTTAGACAAGCGGAGGACGATAATTACCTGGTTGCATCAAAACGATGACCTTGAGACAGGCGTACTCAACCAGGTCTAGTTGTAACTGTGTCAAATATTGCGTTAACTGCAACATTCGTTCGACAATTTCTTCAGCTCCCAGTTCGCGAGCTGCCTCCAGGTTGATGCATTTACTTGATGTAAGGCGAATTTCCTGCCAATAGAAAGTACAAAAATAACACTGGTGTTCGAATCAGCTTCCATGTAAAAATGTAAAACTAAGAGTCCAGTTTCCTACGAACGAAAAAAGTTTATCAATGCACACGAACTCTGAGTGGAAGATCTCTAGTTCGGATCTCGAATGTACGTCGAATGACGATTACACACTAAAAAGACGCCACCCCTGTGCTTTTTCAATCATTACCAACTATCAGACTCGTCGCCACGTCCGGTAGCCCCTACAGGCCACTTGCCCTACAGTACAAACGGTGCAGGGTTGGACAAATCTCCTAGTTTTTTTTTAACAAGAAGCAGTCGGACAAGATATTGTTTCTCTCAGTTCCAAACTCCTCATTGTGATAGATTGGGATAGGATTCTCAGCTGATAGCTGAACGACAAACAGGCCTAGTTCGATAATTGATGCCACCACCAACAGATCTACCACGACTCGTCAATACAATTGCTTGAGTTTAGTTGACGGTCTTGCGTAAAAACACAAGACTATGGAGGTCACTGAGGAGCTGAAAATTAAGAACAGATTCGCTCAGGTGGCCCTGCAGATTAACTGGAATTGGAAGAAGGAACGCTCCTAACTAAGAGGTAGATATGGCCGAGACAGTTGGAATTCTGTTGAAATCCCCGGTTCTGAATAGGATACCCGTCCGACCAAGGGATGTCAAATTACCACAGCAAAGTTACCCATAACTGATTTGCAAATGAACATACACCGGGTGTCATAGACGAGATATTCAAATGAGTCACAGCTTAAAGCCGAGTTTATCCACAAACAAGTGTTAAGGAATTCGTCATGACTTAGGTTGACAACCCAAAATGACATTGCTGGTAAAACGCGGGTGGACTGTGCGCCATACTGAGATTTTCTGAAACTTTGTCTCCCACTTGTTTGTAAACGAGAGGTTCGGTTTGGAGGGCTTGAGTACAGGCGGTTGAGATCCTGTACGGACCGATTCCTAAGCGCCGTTACATAGTTGGTGCGTTAAAAGCGTTTCAAACAGAACAGATTGTGATGGAATCTGAGCTACACCACAAAGGTAAAACATATGCTGCTGGTTACCCCTAAATCGAGCAAAACGTGCTCACAGTTGGTGTTGGGAGAGAGCGCCAGCAGCAGTCCAAGCACAACAGATCCGCCCAACAGTTCTGAAGTAGTAATATTTGATCATCTGTGTCGAGTTGAGCAAAGTCTGGCAGGGCCCTCGACCAACGAACAGTTCGATAAAGACGCTGATCAGCCAGATTCAGGAGAGCTCGGTAAACCGCTGCTTCATCTTCAGTTACACCTTCGGGAACAGTTGCTTCAGGAGGTGTACTCGAGGAATCAATTTCCAAAGAATCTTCTGGTTCTGCCTCTATGGACTCCTCAACCGCCAGGATTTCGCTGATAATCTGTGTGGGATAAAATGAAATGCTGATAAACACCAACGATCTTAGTATCCAAAATAAGTAGAGGGCACAAGGAGATAAATCAACACTTGTTCTTAAACTGAGCATTTGTCCTGACTGAAGAATAAAAGCTATTAACCATTCATGCGAACCTGAAATTGCTGTGCGAACGAATTAGCTTTTTCACTGACTCTGTCCTCACTACTCTGTAGTTGGCAGTAATGCGATCCATTAAACACCCCTATGTGCATAAGGGAAGAAATCCATGTTCACTACAATAGAACAGGAAAACCAAAACATCCTAATGCCAGGATAGTGCTTCCCACTTTGCGGTCACTCTCTTGACCTTTGCCAGAAATTAGTTGAATTGATAAGTGTCGAAAGAACCAAACAGAGCAGAATTATTGGCATAAAAATTTTAGACCAAGGCAGACACACAAAAAATGCGTCCTAGTAAATTAATCTAGGGGTATTTGACGGCGGTTGACTCAATAAAGGGAAAAACAGCTCCGTGAAATGTTTTGATGAAGTGCTACCATAAAATGGGCGCACTTGAGAATTTAGCAATTGACTTGGTATAGCACAGACTCAAATAGAGGCTAAGGAAGATTAAACTGTGGCGATTCATCCAAAAAGATTTTTAACTACAGTCCACTGCTCTGTAAGCAATTTGGAACGATCCAACTGCCTAGTACTGCACAAATCATTTGGCAACCACGTGACAGAGGGAGCCACTTTAGTAAACAAAATAGGTAAAGTTCATTATGAGGGCTATGGAACTCACTTTCGGCAATTCAATTCTCGCTCGTCCAGCAGCGTCCGCGTTCCCTGAAACAATTACTTGTCTGCCTACAAACGGTGTTCCACACGAAGAAACATTGAGATTCAGAGACCCCGGGTACTCAAGCATAGAATGATCCAATTGTATTGTGCTGTGTTCCGCATCATCATCATCTTCGCCATGTGTTCCCAGAACCGCTGGATCAAGATAAACACCCCCGCCGGCATCCACAGAGGAAGGCAATCCATCGGGACCCAGAGGATGTTGTAATCCTGCCAGTGCGCAAGATAACTGCTCCGGATCTAGCTTACCATCACGAACGACCAGTACAGAACTCGGATCAGTGGAGTTCGGATCCGTAACACGTCCCGTACTGACACGAGCGGCCATTTGACGAAGGTAACGTGAGCCAGGGTACATGCTTCGACCACCACGAGTACGGTCTGACCTGATGGCTGGGGGGGGGATAGCAAAGGCATTCAAACGAACGGTTCGAAAATACGTTTAGCCAAAATTCGAGAAACAAATAATATGAGGCGAGGTAGAATGGGCATGTGATCCACAATTGTGCTGAAATGCATAGAACGCAATTTAATGGGACATAAGTTTTAATCTCATGCCTCGTACAGAAGCGTGTAGTTATTAGAAAACTATCCTGCTGGAACACTAATAACAGACAATTTCTGCTTGTCATAGCGTGGTGTGAGATTTCCCCCCGAAGATAAAAGCGTCTAAAAATAATAACCGCTTTTACCAAATGGACACTGACAAACCATAAATACTGCCATGTAACTGCAACACAAAAATCAGGAAAATGTGACAGGAAAGAGGACGAATGAGAATGCAACTTAGCTTGGTTGCGCCTCTTGAACAGCGATAAAATAAACACAGCTGAACGTCAGATCACAGTGAGACACCATCAGTGAGGTTAGACCATGATACCTTTCGAATATGAGAGATGACTACCGTGCACGATAGCTAAAAAGATGCAAAGATCCTATAACATTCCATTAGACTCATTTTATTTCGTGTTTCCAAGTCGCGATCTATCACACACTTTCCGCAAGGGTTTGGAAGGAAAAACAGGCTTATTCGCTTAATGGTAGTTTGGCATGCAGAGTACAACCTCAACCAGATGAGGTCTACTTGCTCCGTTAACTGTTCCAGGCTACAGCTGGCCAAATCCTAATACGTTACTAAAGCACCGGTTTTCAAATGTTTGGTGTTTAAGGTCAGTCGTAACGCTCTTTCGGTGTCTACCTTCCATGCCACGCCGAAGGAAGTACGAGGGTTGATGTTGTGCCAGGTGGCCCAGGCCCGGGCAGAATCAGTAGAGATGCTGAGGTTGGGTTCGAACCGCCGACCTTTCGATCAGGGAGTACGCACCTTAAATGAGCTATCCCAAACCAGATAGAGGGGGAAAATCTCATAACCACGAAGTACTATTATGTCTAAGATTGTCTTGTATGCACAGTCCTGTAGCCTTAGTGAAGTTAGTTATAATGCACGTTGACAAATACTGCGTGCATAAATTTTGTTCGTTACAGGACAGTCGAGGCCTGTGCAACTGCCAAGATAGTGAAAAAAGCTCTTCGGCCTGACACTTCAGAGGTACACAAGGAAATCGAAAGTGCTGAAACAAGACCGAACTTTGGAAGTGTAAAGTGTGGGCCGGAGCAATGCACCACTCTCGGAATTCGATTTAGAGTAAGTTCGATTGGATCCAATGAAAAGATATAGATGTAAAGGCAAAAGGGGAAACAAACTGATGTTGCAAATGTCTCCAAGCATCCTAGACGCTGCCTCTTAGTGCATGTCAGGTTTCCGGTGTGTCCTTGGTGTTGTTATACGGACAAAGAGCACTCCGATCGTGCAGTACAGGTCAGCAATAGCAGTTTAGAGCATATTCAGGCCTCCGGTCCGTTCAAGAAGTTAACACGCAGTTGGTTTGGTGTAGCGCTAGACTGAATTAATTAGGTTGCTACTAAACAAGTGAACGCCAACGTGTCTCTCTTCGATCGACAGGTAAAGCCATTCAGATCAGAAAAGGATGTAAAACCGACATTATCTCACGTTCTACATCTAAAAATCAATGAGCGATAAGCCATGAAGTAAACGTTGCCAACTTTATGTGAGGCACAAAACCAGGACACATTCGAGCTAATGAGGTTTAGGAGGCATGACATGTCGTGTGATAAGTTCTGAAAGGTTACAGGTTACTGTTGGATGTTAAACCCGAATAAAACCTGTGAGCAGCTAGGCAAAAATTAGAGGTGATCAGTAGTGCTTTATCCAGATTTGGACCCAGAGGTGGACGCAGCAGAATTCGATCGCCTGATGTTCAGGGTAAAATTTCACGCCCAAGCCCAATAAGTGAGCACCGACCTCATTTATGCGCGTGGTGACCTGAATTTAGGTGTTTTTGCCTAGTTTAACACTGTCCCGACCGTTCCTCAGTGTTTGGATTCACAACAAATTCCGAGGCACGTGTCAAAACAACTTGAACGTTCAGTTCAGTTTGTTTGCTATACACCGTGGACCGTGATATGTTGGTTCCAACTGCTGTATCTTCGAGGACGTGGAGAGGTCATGCAATCACCAAGGTAGTTTTTCGAAGAATGCTTCTATCTTCTCGATAGAATCAGACCTTGGATACAACACACCGAAAGCCATGACCTTGATACATCAGAGCCACTAGTCGTGAAACGAGGCCGCATCTATCCTTGTCACTAACCACCATTGATAGCCCCTATTTTGGAAGATGGCATGCCGACCTGACTAAGATTGCTAATCACAGAGACGGAACTGTTTCCAATCCATCACCATCATCGACAGGCGTCACAAAGAGACCGGACCCTTTAGTGGTGTAGCAGTTCGTACGTCTCCGTGACCCACTGAGCAATAGTGAGGGGTGCCTGAGCGACACTGTAATACCAGGTTGATCGGTGGCTACCTTACAATCAGGCTTTTGGGACAAAAGCTTTGGTCCAGGACCCTAACCATACTACTGTCTGGGTTTGGGCGTCCTGGCAGTATCCACACACACAACCATGAATTACATATTTAAAGATAGTCCATAGGTAGACCACTGTTGGATTTCTTCCACATTGTCCGTGGCTGAGTGAAGAAGGCTTTATCACACACACACACAAATCAAAAGGACAAACCTTCAATACGCATTCCCTTATCCACGCATTTAAGGAACCGACAAGCCGGACATTTCTTGCGCGAGGAAACGTTGATTTCACAGACAGAATTGGCACTTGGGTGGTGGCAAGCATATCGCTTGGCGTTCTGAACGGTGCGTTTGAAGAACCCTTTGCAAGACTCACAGCAAAATATGCCGTAGTGATAACCGGAAATCTTGTCCCCACAAATGGGGCAAGGGCCCAACTTTGTGAACTGCTTCACGTATTGTTGCCAAGTTGATTCACGCTACAACGAGATGAAGCAGAAAAAATTGGCATTAGGAGTAGACAGTGACAGCAAACGGAATAAGATTAGTCTCGTCACTTAGTACCTGTACGACAGATACTCTATTCAATACGGTTGTTTGGAATGATGCTTCACTTGGCTTAGAGTGAAGCACAAACTTCGGATTGATATAACCCACATAGCCTTTCGAAGATCCACCTACAATCAAAACACAGAGTAGCGAGTAAACGGAGTTCGAGACGTATCGGTACTGGTGTTGAACGGCGGTGCTTGACGGCTATACAACCACAATACGGAAAAGCGAAGGGTGACTAACGTTAGTACATTTCGCAAACGTACCACATTTCCACCAGCTGTGGCACCACTAGGAGTAAGAGTAAGGTAGCCTCCAGGGCCCGAACGGGATCCGACACCAACTGATGCGTTGTTGTTCACGTAAAGATCAGTCGCTCCACTGTGTCCAACAAACCGCGTTGGGCCCGCACTAACCCATGTTGTGTTGGCCGCCACGCGACCAACACCACTACCACCACCACTGACTCCAGATACTTGGCGCAAAGGGACGATAGTCGCACCTCCAGTGTTGCCGACTACGACGGAATTGGTGGCAGAAGTGGTAGCGCCAGTGCCAGAGAGCGGCTGCTGAACAAGGATGAAACTCCGATCTTGGTTGTTAAAGCCACTGGAAGCGACAGGACCACCAACTGCACGCAGTACAGTGCCACCTACAGAAAAATGGAAAAAATATAACAGAAAACGCGTTGAGTGTCGTATAAGCTGGGCGGGCCTAGTATGACTCAGAAGATACACCTGGAGATAAAAACGATACACTGAACCTCCCCGATTACCGGGTGCCTCATCAACTGAGCTACCACGGACGATTGTCAATTGAGGTCATACAACAGCAAAATTCGACAACAAACATCTCTACATATGTCTGGTTAGGGGAGTTTTATACAACCAGTGTACAAATATGGAACACAGCCGAACAACCAACCTTCTTCCCAAGACGGCTGTCGTAATATGGTCGCGCGAAGCATTACCGCGGTGCGGTAACTGTCAAAAGATAAAACCTGGTCAACTCATCATCATCCGTTTAAACCCAATGACAGCCTATACCGCTGCATCAGTTCGATATAACCACTGGAAGGCTGAGCATTAGTGTGGAACCTTGCCCCAATGAACTTAACCTGTGTGGACTGGTGGCTTCCAAGGACATGACGAAGAATATCAGAGACCGGCCTAACCGTAGCATACACATTGGGTCGTTTGGTCTGGACCCACTAAAGTCAACTGGCGAAGCGCCCACCATTCAAGCCGGTAGTATTTAAACTACTTATATACTGCAAGTAGCACGACGAGAAAATTGTAGTGGACCATCGCAACAGCGGCCACTCACGAAGGACGGCCAGTCTGGCCTCAGGTAGATGATGGTCCCCCTGGGGAGTAAAAACACACTTGCCGAGTCCCAGAAGATACGAACACATACACACCAACGTTTTATGATTAAACAATGAAACGCTGAAGTGTGTCGTAACCATTCCCCCAACCCGCTGAAAAACACCTGATATAAGAAACCATCTCGGCAAAAAAAGAGTACACTGATTAATACGTATACGTAGTTATAATGTTAAAAAGCTCAATACATAGGTATAAGCCTGTGTATCATATATGATAGGTTGGACAACTCAACAGATTCAAAGCAAACAGAACCAGAGACTCGTATTTCAGTCAAACTTGGTGCGTGACTCGCCCTAAAGAACGCATCAGCAATTTTTAGTTACACTAGCATATAGAAGTCCGCACACCGCAATTTGTACACATATGACTCGATAGACAACGACACCATGTCACCTCGAACTGTTTTACACACGTATATGTGTCTAGTCCCATTGGATGTTTCGCAAGCAGCGAAGTATGGTCGTGAGGTGATAAGAGTGTGAGGAGATAGGTGCTTCCGTGATTATAGAAATGTACGCCACCCGGGCTTTTCGCCTTCACGCCCCCGGCCTGAAGCAAAACATGAAGACGTGCTGCCATTTAACTGAACGCAGTGTAACCATGGGGATCATTGTAGTAATGCGTGGCTTGATATGGACTTCCACCACGATTGTTGTTACCACGGAATTTCAGTCAGTTGTCTCCGGACTATACTAGACTCACGACTTCTACCCTACACTAGACAGGATTAGTGTTGTTCCAACTTACGGTCAGTAAGGCCCGGAAGTCATAAGGGCACTTTGTGGACGGAAGCTTGACCTTAGTTTAGCAAGCGGTATTTCTAGAGTATACCTAACTTGTTCCAATCCCTTCCTACACATAATAGTTTGATGATATCAGAAGCAACCAGTTTACAGACGCAGCACATTCAACTGAAGTGTATTGTAAAAGAGAGATTCAACAGTCTCCCGTGAAAACCGAGTTCATAGGCAAAGTGTATTTGTCGAGATCTATCGAATTTGGGTTGAAGTAGAACATAAGTTTGACGGCAACTCGGGGACTGCGACTACACAATGAGACCCAAGAAGAGCGAAACCGGTCGTGGGCCGTCGGAGAGTTTTTAGCAACCTTGGGAGTGGTTTCCTCTGTGAAAATATATCGCGATACGGAGAATATCATGCCAAATGAAACATGAAGTGGCATTTTTGCAGCACATCCAGTTGAAGAATATCATAAACGAGAGATTCAGTTGAATGTCCTGTGAAAACCCAGTTGATATGCAAATGATCGTATTTGTCGAGACAGTGAGAACTGCTTCTACAAAATTGATAGGTGAGATTCTCACAAGTTGAGCTTGAAAATAAAGAGATCCGGCTTCATTCATTAGACTGCGAGATAGAATGCTTTCCAACTCAACGTACCCGCTCTGATTGAAAGAGTTGCTTTGGATCAAATATTAACACCCATAAACATGTGTGATTATAAAGTCTGCGGTCACTCATCACAGATGGCGCTTTTCGTCCCTGTAGAGTTCAAAGAAAATGTCTGTTCGGCTTAGAACTACCGTGCGAATTCACCGCTAACTTCTCTATTGCTCTTGTTTAAGTCACAGAGACTTGACAGTATTTTAGCTTCCATGGTTCCCACGGGTTGAATATCTCTACTTTCAAGCGACCATCTCATAACACAGGATTCGTCGGACTCCGAAATGTCTCGGATAGACGCTGTTCAGACATATGATGGACTGTTAGGCCTGCACAAATTGCGAAAAAGTGGTAAAGTCAGGAGGACGAATAAAGTGTCACTGACTGAGATTAGAGAACGTATGGCTTATTTTTCCAAAATCAAAATATTCGGTATGATTAACAGGTCAGACTTCAGAGAATCTTGACAATCGGTCCGGGTTTCCAGTGAGCATAAGATGGTATTCCTTTAGAAATCATGGCAGTGAAAATAACAGTGTTCCCAATGATATGTTCCCGTTTATCACTAAAGCGATAGAAACCCAACAGGAAAACATGGAAAATACGGAGAACTTACCGGCAGAAACCGCACGAAGCTGACCAGATCCGGAGTACAGTTGAGCCTCCTGACTGTTAGTTAGTTGACCAGCGGGAACGAGGATATACGTAGGTTGTTGTGCTGATAACTGATGCCGGGTTGCAGCAACAGTAGATCCAGAAGGCTGAAGTAACACGGTGTGTGCCTTGAGTTCATGATAATCAAAGGTCACATATTTTGAATGGGAAACGCACGTACAAGAGAAGCACATAAGAAACGCACAATACAGTTCCGAAGCATTCACTGGTACATCACCTGGCATAGCAAGTAGCTAGCGAATAAAGCGTGGTAAGACAAGCGTGCCTTATTACAATTCAACTGACTGATCGATACACCACCAGATCACCGTATTTCGCCCAAGGCATCCAAATATGATCGGCTTCGGAGTACACAGATAATATCGAACGGCGTCTTCGATTACTAAATAATTATTCGAATAGGTTTTGATGTTTCATCCGAGGAACCTGTTCCTACACCACATTTCTGTTACTAGGAACGGTTTAAAGAACATGTACATCCAACTCCGGGACCAGTGACCTTGCACTCATCTTTCGGGTTTTGTTTGCTCTGTGGAATAGTACGTCCGAATATTGCTTCACTAGGGGTCTCTAATTTGATGGCTTATTCTAATTACTTTGGGATAACAATCGGATAAAATATATGCTGAAAATTGTACTTACACCACCCACCTCGCGCTAAGAGTTACCAAAGTGACGAAACAATAAGATGAAACACTAAAATGAGACGCTATGTAACCACCTTCGTGGATATTTTTAACGTACTGCTAAGCTTTCATAAAAAAACACGAAATTTGATAAGGCCTTCAAAAAGAAAATAAACGCCTGTAGACGAAGCGCTGACCTCCTGCGTGACTAAGAGCAAGTGTCCTTAGTAGTTCAGTCGATAGAGCAGAAGTCCGACGGTTCGAGTCCGCCCTCCCCGGGCATCTATTGGTTTATGCCATGTAAACTAGCTAAGTAAAAATATTCAAAATTGTTACCAGATGTGAGGAGCGTAGTCTCACCCTATCGGATTCTCGTAGGAACAGTTCACACGTAGCGGTGCATTCGTTTCGGGTTTAATTCCCTCCTTATCAGGCCTGTCGAAGATCAGGAATCAGTTTCACGGTTCACAACTGTCCTCAAAGCTATACGAGCAAGCGGTCACACATATACACCAGATGTCGCAAGATGCACAGAGCTTTCGCATTGTGGCAACATTATTTGGATCACCCAGGTCTTGTGTCATTAACGTCGTGTATCACCTCACACTAAACCTTCCTGATGAGGGGCATGGCCTACTTGATCGAATAAGTTTCAGATCCTGACTGTATGAACCCCCGAGAGTCGATAGCGGAAGTCTACATCCAGTTAGGTGAGGATGACTTCAAAGAAGTGTAGTAAGTTTTACTAACATTCGTTGAGTCTAACAGGAACTATTGGTACGCCGAAAATAGTAAAACTGGATAAAGCTCTAGGTTAGGCCAAAGGTGATTCTTCCGTTATTCCTGGCCATAAAATGCCACCACGAATTGGTGAATCCGAATCAGATGTCAAGATGCACAAGAACCTGTAGGATGTACCTACCCCTGAGGCAAACAAAATTTGTTGCTGTCTTAATACTTCACCAGTTAGTTTAGGCGAGTGGACTGATAACACATGAACGAAAAGAATTGACAGTTTGACAGTGGACGAATTGTTTTGGAAATTAGTTCAGTGAGTACACGAAGCCCGCTACTATTCGGGAAGTTGCAGTTTGCCAGTAAGTTGCTTGCGCCGTATATATCACCAGATTGAGTCCGGCTTGGAGTCAGGACCAGAGCGCGCCAGTATACTGGGCTATACTAGCTTCGGTTTTCTAGTACTTAAGCACTGGGGCTAAAGGACAAGAAATAACCCATCAGCAGATACACACTGAAGGATAAATAGCAAAGCTTTCCTTATTTTGTAAAGTGGTGGTGTGGAAAGCTTGTAACCAGTTTCCTCCCATAAAAACGGGGAGTCGCGGTGGGTAGTCAAAGACAACTACAAGTTTGAGAGAATAACCCTGACGTTCTTATTTGTTCCACCTGAATACAGTCCAGGACGTTAGAAACGGCGGTCGACCAAGAAAAAAACTAAAAACAGGGCAAGAAGCAACAAGACATTGCACCACCGGGTTGGGCGTTATGATTACACGCAACTTGGGTGCTATGGACCAAAGTCAAACGGTACTAGAAATACGATGTGGGAAATCTTCCAGACGAAACAGAAAAATGCAAACATCAGACACGTGATTACCGGTTCGCATTTAAGGGCAGAAACGGAAGAGTGGTTTGCAAGGTGTGAATTCACGACGGTTGTTGCGGCACTGACTGATAGACGAGAGGCACCAGAACCACTGTCTGCAGGGGGAGTTGATTCCACTTTCGGCTTTTCCGTATCTTCGTCCACCTTCCCAGTAAACTTCAGCTGGCGGATAGAATTGTGAAGATGGGTTGAAAAAGGAGAATGATACGGTGGTGCGAAAGTCAAATCAATAGGACCAAGTCGGATAAAGCACTAGTTATGTGCAGATATCACAGGTATCACTGTGAGACATAAGAGACGATGATGAACATCCACTGATGAAACTGTGCCGTTGGACATGGCTAAAGACAGACGCCATGTTAGATAAAGTTCAATCAAACCAAGAAACCGGTGAGTAGCCCGAAAACGCAAATTTTATCCGAAGCACATTGGTCACAGATGCCGGCAGTCTAAGCATTAGCAAGCTCTTCCACAAACGTATTACCAAGCTGTAACGGTGAGGGATAGAAGTACCCAAACAAACACATCTCTATGTCCGCATGAGTTCTTGACTGCTCACGTTTGAGTTTTGCGATATCTAAAATCCCATATTTCCTACGGACCAACCGTCCCCTCTCTATCTACCTCTCTCTCTACAGCTGGCTTACAAAGCTCGTCAGTGGAACCTGCATGAAGTCGCGATATGGAGAGAACTGACCGCGGGTCGCAGAGTCCAGAAGCAGCACCCATATGACACATTTCAGAAGCTGACTCGTTCTGTTCCAAGAGATAACAACTTTATGAAAATTCGGGATATGCGGAAACTGTTTTTGGAAAGACATCATGTTCGAAGTTAGACGTACGCTTGCTAAACAAGTCGTTTTGCAAAAGAGCATCGATTGCAACACAAAACGTGAAAGCCGGGTACGTGTGACGCATCTACTTCGTAGTAAGTAGGTGTGAACGAATCCCAGCGAGGGGGTTGGGCATTTAAGGTGACCAAAATGCTTTGAGGAATTTACCGCGTATCAATCACCCATTTATATCAGTCCAGTAAGTTCGACACCAGCTGTCCAGCACGGATCTGTTGGAACAAGCGAGTATAAGGGCGCATATTACTTAAGTGACTTGTGGGGCCAAATCTTTGAGTATCGACTAGAATAGGAGAGTCATTTTGAGTATGATACCATGTCCTTAACAAACATTTCAATTCGGTGTAGAACTTGTTTCACTCAGCTTGAATACCAATGTGGTCACGAAACATTTGGGTGTTGTCGGTGCTACTTATCTTCCAGGATGGGGACTGCGTGATCCCCACTGCCCCCGGTTGGAGACACTCTAATCACTGTCATTGGCGTTCGTATTGTCAGGTTCCATCTAGATTCCCTGAATGAGTGTTTGTAGGTGTAGGCACCTCGAAATGATTGTAGTAAGGTGGCACTAAGTCCCTTCTCTGTCCAGCTTTATTTTTCTTCACAATAAGACTTTCAGATGAATCATGGTTGCACGACAGCGAAGCATCGGTGTGGAACACTGTGTCATGCTGTCAATGATGATGATGATGACTACAGTAACAATGACTCCTTGCATAAAGACTTGAGAACAGCTAATTAAATAATAGGCCTTTCACTCAATCTACAGAGAATGTGCGTAACAGTAAGGATGCCTCGCAAAAGAGGAGCTGAACTGGCCGTCGGTTATACCACTTGGCGCATGAAACCGGGTTAAGATAGATCTAAGGGTATGAAGCGTGACCGTGGTTACCAGGTTACTTCGTTGCGGAGTCTCAAATAATTAGTTTGGTGAGACACAGCATTTTTCCAGGAGTCATTGACGCTCTCAATACCGGTATAGAAGGTTGATTGCAAAATATTTTTACTGGTTTAAATCGATACTGCTTGGCTAGTGACGAGCTTATTTTTGATTGGGAAGTCCCGAAGGAAAGCGAATTGTCCGATGCTCTCGCAGTGTAGTGTGATCGGTGTCAAGTCGCCGGCCGCAGAGAGAGCAACGGGATCGAATCAGAGCTCCTCACCATTAGCTGATATCCAACAAGATTCATAGTTGGCGTGACTCGTGACACAACCATCTTCGTAGGCGTCGCTGCAAGCGGTCTTTAAGCGAGTCGTCTTCGATTCATCAAAGATCAGCTTCAGATCACTGATTCCAACCAACCCCAGGTATAGTTCCGAGAAACCTATGATCAAAAACCTAAGAACATTTTAGATCATCCACTAGAACTCACCACGATTATCAGCCACACAACAATACATCACTGCAGTCTGACACACGCGTCTTTTGAGACACAGTGAAATATCTCTTTTGATGCCCCAAGTGGCGCAAATTGGCAAGCGCAATTCTGACCGTTGAAATTTACACGATGACATCATCTGCCATCGTAGCCAATTCACTTTCCGATATACGCAGTGTCATTCGCTGAATCCTCAGAGATATGTTTAAAGACTGTAGCACGACTTCGCACCTTATGGGCGCCAAGCACATGTCAAAAGACCGGATAACCTCGATCAGCTCTTCTAGTATTACTTGTGCTTCCTGTATTTCTTCAAAAAGGAGAACAGTGTCATCCACATATTTCAGGTCTGCAAGGTTCTTGCTTGGAAGTATATGAATAACAAGGTATTATAGACCATTCAGTTTTTGCGCCTTTGCTTCACCAATGGCGATTCGACATCCTTGTTGAACAACACCGCCTGTAGAAAAGCTTTTGGAAGGCTCGAAATATAAAAATAGTGCCCGCAAAACCGCAAAATTGAAACAATAAGATAATCGTTCAGCTGTAACACCCTTCAATGCCTAACTGCCATGCCACCCGAAGGAAGTACGAGGGATGGGATGC